GGGTTAAACTAAGGCTTAGAAACACAGAGAGGGGTCCGTGAGGAGCCCGCTGGAGATAGGCGAGCTGCGGAGCCTACGGAGGGGCCAGCTCCAGCGTGAAGGAAGGAGTAGGAAGGGAAAAAAGAGCGATGTACCGGGCCGCTGGAAAAGGAAATTAGGGCCCTGGGAAGGAGTATCCGTAGAACCTCGAGATTTTTATTGACCTTCACTTCTGGCCAAGAGAGGCTCCTGGCCATAGAGGAGGTTACCTGAGTCCTGGAACTTGTGCTAGACGGGTTTGCGGAGGCAGAGCTTGATAGGGGAGGTAAGCTAGGGTTCAGTGAGTCACCTTCTTTCCTCTTTCCCTGGCTTCCATCTGCAGGAGCCGTGATGTTCCCACTTCGGGCCCTGTGGTTGGTCTGGGCGCTTCTAGGAGGGGCTCGAGCATGCCCTGAGCCGTGCGCCTGCGTGGACAAGTACGCTCACCAGTTCGCCGACTGCGCTTACAAAGAGTTGCGCGAGGTGCCAGAAGGACTGCCTGCCAATGTGACCACGCTTAGTCTGTCCGCGAACAAGATCACCGTGCTGCGGCGAGGGGCCTTCGCCGACGTCACACAGGTCACGTCGCTGTGGCTGGCGCACAATGAGGTGCGCACCGTGGAGCCAGGCGCACTGGCAGTGCTGAGTCAGCTCAAGAACCTCGACCTCAGCCACAACTTCATATCCAGCTTTCCGTGGAGCGACCTGCGCAACCTGAGCGCGCTGCAGCTGCTCAAAATGAACCACAACCGCCTGGGCTCTCTGCCCCGGGACGCACTGGGTGCGCTACCCGACCTGCGTTCCCTGCGCATCAACAACAACCGGCTGCGTACACTGGCCCCCGGCACCTTCGACGCGCTCAGCGCGCTGTCACACCTGCAACTCTATCACAATCCCTTCCACTGCGGCTGTGGCCTTGTGTGGCTGCAGGCCTGGGCCGCGAGCACCCGGGTGTCCTTACCCGAGCCCGACTCCATTGCTTGTGCGTCGCCTCCCGCGCTGCAGGGGGTGCCGGTGTACCGCCTGCCCGCCCTGCCCTGTGCACCGCCCAGTGTGCATCTGAGTGCCGAGCCACCGCTTGAGGCACCGAGCACCCCACTGCGCGCGGGACTGGCGTTCATGTTACACTGCATCGCCGACGGCCACCCCACACCCCGCCTGCAATGGCAACTTCAGATCCCCGGTGGCACCGTAGTCTTAGAGCCACCAGTTCTGAGCGGGGAGGACGATGGGGTTGGGACGGAGGAAGGAGAGGGAGAAGAAGGAGATGGGGACTTGCTGACGCAGACCCAAGCCCCAACGCCGATTCCCGCACCCGCTTGGCCCGCGCCCCCAGCCACACCGCGCTTCCTGGCCCTCGCAAACGGCTCCCTGTTGGTCCCCCTCCTGAGTGCCAAGGAGGCGGGCGTCTACACTTGCCGTGTACATAATGAGCTGGGCACCAACTCTACGTCAGTACGTGTGGCGGTGGCAGCAACCGGGCCCCCAAAACACGCGCCTGGCACCGGGGGAGAACCCGACGGACAGGCCCCGACCTCTGAGCGCAAGTCCACAGGCAAGGGCCGGGGCAACAGCGTCCTGCCTTCTAAACCCGAGGGCAAAATCAAAGGCCAAGGCCTGGCCAAGGTCAGCATTCTCGGGGAGACTGAGATGGAGCCGGAGGAGGACATAGGTGAGGGAGAGGAGGCCGAAGACCAGATCCTCGCGGACCCGGCGGAGGAGCAGCGCTGTGGCAACGGTGATCCCTCTCGGTACGTTTCTAACCACGCGTTCAACCAGAGCGCAGAGCTCAAGCCGCACGTCTTCGAGCTGGGCGTCATCGCGCTGGATGTGGCGGAGCGCGAGGCGCGGGTGCAGCTGACGCCGCTGGCTGCGCGCTGGGGCCCTGGGCCCGGCGGGGCTGGCGGAGACCGGCGACCCGGGCGGCGACCCCTGCGCCTACTCTATCTGTGTCCAGCGGGGGGCGGGGCGGCAGTGCAGTGGTCCCGCGTAGAGGAAGGCGTCAATGCCTACTGGTTCCGAGGCCTGCGGCCGGGTACCAACTACTCCGTCTGCCTGGCGCTGGCGGGCGAAGCCTGCCACGTGCAAGTGGTGTTTTCCACCAAGAAGGAGCTCCCATCGCTGCTGGTCATCGTGGCAGTGAGCGTATTCCTCCTGGTGCTGGCCACAGTGCCCCTTCTGGGCGCCGCCTGCTGCCATCTGCTGGCTAAACACCCGGGCAAGCCCTACCGTCTGATCCTGCGGCCTCAGGCCCCTGACCCTATGGAGAAGCGCATCGCCGCGGACTTCGACCCGCGTGCTTCCTACCTCGAGTCCGAGAAAAGCTACCCGGCAGGCGGCGAGGCGGGCGGCGAGGAACCAGAGGACGCACAGGGGGAGGGCCTTGATGAAGACGCGGAGCCGGGAGACCCAAGTGGGGACCTGCAGAGAGAAGAGAGCCTGGCGGCCTGCTCACTGGTGGAGTCCCAGTCCAAGGCCAACCAAGAGGAGTTCGAGGCGGGCTCTGAGTACAGCGATCGACTGCCCCTGGGCGCCGAGGCGGTCAACATCGCCCAGGAGATTAATGGCAACTACAGGCAGACGGCAGGCTGAACCTCGGCCCGTCCGGCCCGCCCATTCCCGACCTCCACCTAGGGTGCCTGGGAGCAGTAGTCTAGGGCTGGCAGGACTTATGTCCCCCGTCCCCAACTTTCACCTACTCCTCCCCCTTACCACTTCGCAACCTTGACTACTAGGGACTTCCAGTAGGGAGTGGGCCGATTTCACCAGTCCCCGCTACCCACGGCTGCCATTCTCCCTGCGGGCTGAATCCCCTTACCCGCCAAGCACAGTGTTTCTCTTACCCCATGCAAGACTCCACCCGCAGACGATGGGAGATATCTATGTTCCTCCATTCCCATCGCGATTATCTGCGAAATCCGCCCCGCAGCCCGCCCCACCGTGGGCTCTGGAGCCAGAAGAAACGAGCGAAGACGTTGGAAACCTCACGGTAACGCCGTGGTTTCGGGGCCAGCCCGGGCCAGTGGAGGGCTGTGGGGTCGCACTTCGACCCCTCCCCCTCCCCCTCCCTTTCTTTGTTTTTCCTTTTTTTTTTTTTTTTTTTTTGACGGAGTCTCGGTCTGTCCCCAGGCTGGAGTGCAGTGGCGCGATCTCGGCTCACTGCAACCTCCGCCTCCCAGGTTCAAGCGATTCTCCTGTCTCAGTCTGCCGAGTAGCTGGGACTACAGGCGCGCGCCACCACGCCCAGATAATTTTTTCTATTTGTTGGCCAGGATGGTCTGCATCTCTTGACCTCAGGTGATCCATCCGCCTCGGCCTCTCAGAGTGCTGGGATTACAGGCCTGAGCTATTGCGCCCGGCCCCTCCTCCCTTTCAATCCGTACTCCCAGAAGCCGGGATTCGTGGCAACCCCTAATTTTTAGTTCCAAAGCCACCTCCCGGCAGGGAACCAAATCCTTCTGTCCTCCCACCCCCACCCCACTTCTGGCCTGTTGGAGTCCAGCCCGGTGCCTGGGGCGCCTTTCAGCTCCGCGCTCAGATTTTCCTGTTTTCGTTGTTTTCAAGACAGCGACATTTCGGGTCTGGTGCTAACACCCCCTTCCCAGCCTCTGGGAAAATCGGGTGTGTGTGTCGGGGGGTAGGGAGGGAATGCGTTTTCTGTTGTCTCTCTCCTAACTTAAAGCGCCGCAGGACCGCGCGCCTCTTGGCGGCTGAGCGCGTGGACTTGGTCCCGGGCCAATTTCGTTATCCGTGTGTTGGGCTTTCCGGAGGTCTGTGCGCCCAACAGCGCCGCTCCTGCGGATCCACCCGACCCAGACCCAGCTGGAAAGCGCCAGACGCGGAGGAAGCTGACTGTGGCCTCCCAGGCCACGGCTCTCGGGAGGGCTCGCGCCCTAGTTCGCACAAAGCCTGCGCGTGACTGTGCGACTGTGCGGTGGGATCCGGATGGAGCCGAGCCCCTCTGTCCTCTCGTCTCGGTCCTCGCGTCGCCCCGCCCCACCCGCCCCTGCTTCGGCGGGAATCGTTGTTTGCCCGGCGTGTAGTCCCTGACAAGCGTGCCCTGTAGGAGAAAAGTCTGTGTCCTGTAAAGTGTGACCGTGTAGTGTAGGGGGGCGGGCGGGGGTGCATATGGGCGGGGAGGGAGGGAAGGGGAGGGGCGCGGCGCGGCAACTGGGGGCGGGGTTCTTTTTTCCATTTTGAAAGAAAGCGTCGGGGTTGGGGTGGGGGGAGTTTCAGTCCTCGGGATCTGCGGTCTTCGCGAAGCGCAGCACAAGCGCGGGCCTGGGACGGAGTAGCACCCGGAGCCCGTGCCCTTTTCTAAACGCGTCTGTATGCAAACAGTCAATAAAACAATCGATTTGAGCTGGGCTCGGTGACTTTTTGTCAGGGGACAGAGGAAGGAGGCCTGGGCGATGAAGAAGGAAAGCGCGGAAGGAGGGAGCCCCCCTGCACCCTCCCCCCAGCCTCCCGTTGGTATCTTTTGAGTGATTTCGTGTTTGTGTGACCATTCCGTGATTTTTTGCCAGGTGTTTGCACCCAACCCTTCTCTTGGTGTCTCAAACTCCAGGGTGGGGTGACAAAAAACGAGGGCAGGCTGGAAGTGAGTAGGGGGGAGGTTGCCAGAAAGGAGGGCGGGTGGCTGTAGACCCTAAACACAGGGAGTCTGAGTGTGCGTCCACGTACGTTTGCACTCGAGAGTGTGCGGCACCCTCTTTCACTTGAGACTATCGGTGTAGTGGGGTGTGGCTGTGTGTGGTGTCACACTGCCCAGTTTCTGTGTCTCCACATCAGCCTTTGAGTTCCCTGAGAAGCCGATGGGAAGAGAACGGGATTCATAGGGACAAGACTGCTGTGGCTTGCACAAGAGAAGTCACAAATAACACAAAGTACAGAGCAGGCAAACGATGTAAAGCAGGAAAAGGGGAGAACCTGGCCAGGCTAATTGCCCAGAGCAAGCGGGCACGTTTGGCCTGGGAGCCAAGTGTGTGTGTTGTGTGGGTGGGTGGGGAGCACTCAGTGAATGATGCATGGACAACCGTCAGGGTGTGCTAAGGGGGTGCACCTATGGAATCAGGGTTGAAAACACACTGATTTCACAGTCCTAGAAAGGGGGTTTCTTGGGTGAGGAACAGGAGAGACGGGGATCAAGAAGAGAGGCTGTGGTCCTGCCCAGCCTAAAACACGGGGGTTGGGCTGCGGTGTGTTTCAGCTGAATCCCCCTAAGATAGGAAGAGGCAGGGAAGAGAGGTGGAAGAGGAAAGCAACAGAAATGGGAAGCAGAAGAAGATTCTACCTCCCCCCTCCCTTCTTCCTGCTTCCAATTTCTTGCCCTCTTTTGCTGTCTCTGTGAGTCTTCCTAATTGGACCTGTCCAGGCTGGGAACAGGCCCAAGTTCCAATGCTGGGCATCCTACCCCAGCCTCAGATCTGTCCTCTGGCATAGGTGGTGGCTGTGACACTTCTTGGGGCCTGAGCCCAGGTTCCCTTCCCAGACCAGCAAAGCTGTTTTCAAGAAAAATTCCCTTCTGAGGGCCACAGCCTGAGCCCTGCCCCTGGTCACAGCCCAACACTGCAGTCCACCCTACTGCCTGGGACACAACTCAGGAATATTATCTTTTAGGAAGACACCTGCTTTGTTCTACCTGCAAATCCTACCTCTGAGCAGGGTGCAAGGACTGGCCCAATTTCTAGGGTCTAGTTAAGAATCCAATGACATGATTGCTTCTGGGAACAGACCTGTCTGGGCCAGTGAGTGCTCAGCAGTTTTGATGCAACTCAATCATCTGGTCATGGGTCTCTAGTGGGAAGACAGGCTCCTTCCTTTCCCTGCCTGCCCTAGGAATTGGGGACCCTCCACGAGACCCTCTAGGATCCTGAGTGTCACTAGGGCAGGTGGAGAGGAGCTGAAAGCTCTGCCCCTCTTTGTCCAGGGCCACACATCCTAATGTATTAGCAAACACCACTCAGCTAGACCTTGTAGCTTCTGGGCGTGGCCAGGCCCAAAGGCTCCATCCACAGGCAGGAATGAATAGTGTTGGAGGCCAAGGACCAGGGTGCTGGGACACTCTGCCAACTGCCCATTGAGATCCCAGCCCTCTCAGGAACACTCAAGTTTCTTTCCAAAGGTTGGGCACATGCACAGAACGGTCCCCAGCCTCTGGCCTTCCTTCCTACCTCTTTTTAAATGTAATTAATTTAACTTATTTAATTACATTAAAATAAAATGTCTTCCTTTCATTTCCTCTCCCTCATTCCTCTCTGTTCTAAGTTGTTCCAATTCAACTACCAATTTCAGGTTGAATTCTTTTTCACAGTGTCCCCATCAGGTAGTTGTACAACTTTGGCTTATACTTGTCCAGAGATGGGGAGCTCACGTTTCACTCCCCTCTTCCAAGGAATCAGTTGTTTAGCAGTTTAAAATGTGTGTCTGCCTGGGTTCCACCCCTCAGGCCTGACTGCAACTGGCAAGTGCTCTGGGAGAACCTGTCAGGTGTAGAGGTGTAATCTCCACCTCTGACCCTCTGTCCCTGGCTCCAAGGCTTTCCATTCAATACAACTTTTTTGAGCGTTTCCTGTATGCTTCATGTGCTGTGCTAGCTTCAGTCTCTCCAGTATGTCTTGCTGTAAAACTTATTTGGATACCACATGGAAATGGAGTCTAACGGCTTGAGGAGTGTGTGTGTGTGTGTGTGTGTGTCTTGGGAGACCTGGTAAATGATCGGAGAATGCAATATGACAGCAGTAGCTTCAGAACTCAGAGCAATTTATCAGGAGCAGTAATTCTTTGAGCTACAGAAACCAGATGGCCGGGATGTGGCCTTGAATAGGATCAGAAACCTGTCTAAAGAAAGGTGATTTGAAAAGAGTGCCTCCTCCCCCGACATGTTTCCTAACGAGCAGCTGAAATGAGAACCATCTTGAAGATCATTAAAGTCCATTACTATAAAAGAACAAAGGAAGGCAGGGCTTCTTTGAGAAAGAAGCAGCTGGGGTAGGGTCCTCTAGTCCCAGATCTTGTGTCTGGAGTGCAGCCCTCCACCCATGACATCCAAATAACAACCACAACTAAAGCGAACATCTCCAAAGATTCGTTGTCAGTACACATATGGCCTGTGACTCCCTGATGGTCATCTCAGTTTTTCCTCCTGGATCTCAGTGGAATGCATTTTAGTAGGTAGAGGGAAAGGAGTGGCATCTTGCCATGACTACCCTGCCCCACATTTGTTAACAGAGCCCCAGTTATGCGACACTCCATAGGGGAAAAGGGACCTGCTGTCTGCACAACAGGAGGCGTCACCTGCAAAGAAGGGACCATGACTGTGTAAGCACAGAGCAAGAAAAACTGGGGAATCTCCTTTCTCTGCAGAAATCCAAGCCTGTACTCTGCAGAAAGCCAAGCCCTAGTACCAGGACATAAGAAAGGCCCCTTGTTGAGGCCATAAATTGCCAAGTCTGATCTAACAGATACCTTTATCTTATAAGTTTCCAACATAAAGGTATCGACAAGAGAAATTCTGCTGGACAGTTGGGAGGAAGCAAGTGGAGCCATTTCAGTTGTAATGTGTCAATTAATTGATTGCATTTGAAATGTAGCCACTCACACCTATCTGTTCAATGATAAGATTTTGCCTTAGGACTCAATAGAGAATAACACTGTATTGAAAATGAAAGATCTGCTGTGACTGGCATATAGAAGAGATTAAATTTTAAAATGTTTTGCAATATTAGCATTTTGTTCAAAATATGACCAGTGTTCCTAATGAGACTTGATATGGATTTTTAAAAAAGCCATCCAAAGTCCCCATGATGGGCACAAAAATAAAACCAACTTGTTGGATTAAATTAGTTGGAAAGACTTTGTATCATTCCATGGTTGAATAAGTAATTTATGGGATTTAAAGACAGTATGATTTTGAAAATTGTGCTAATTGTGTGTGCTTTGTTTGGACATGTGAATGTACATTTAATAATTAAGGTTAAGTCCACATGGAACAAGGAGAGAAAAAGTGTTTTTATTTTTATCAACTGTTTACTGCTTACATGTATTCCCTTGTGTATTAGGAGTTAATTTGGTTTTGGCAAATTAAATGCATTTTCTCCCAGCAACATTCGCAAACTGTTTCTTAAATTGAGTCTAAAAGCCATTCAAGGCATCCAACCATTTGAGAGAAAAATTTCTATGATTATATAAATTACCAAGGAACTTCATAAGAATTGATCAGTGTGGAAATGGGGAGAGAATGGGAATGGAGAATTAATTACCAAATGCTTTTTAATAATAGAGGCTTGCCACACATCTAGACTAAGAATGCTAATAGTCACCACGTAATATTAGTATAAATACTAATAATACCAATAGTAGCTAACATTTATTGAACTCTTACTATATTTCAGGCACATTCTATGGATCTTACAAGCTTTATTTTGTCATTCCTTATAGTGATCCTGTGAGGTAATGTTATTATTATAATGTACAGACAAAGAAACGAAAGAGCACAGAGGGTTAGTAGTTTGTTGAAGATCACACAGCTGGCAATTTGCAGGGTTGAAGTTTGTCCTTTTGTTATCTGACTCCAATGCCAGAGCTCTTAGTCGCCAAGCCAAACCTCCTCCTGAAGCCTCTACAAACCAGTGAAGTGTAGAATAATATATTTTCTACATGTTTAAATTTGCTGCTAATTACAGAGTTTGTCTAGAAAAAGGATTTCTCTTGCTGTTTCTCTTATTTCTCAAAATAGCATTTATTTTTTTCTGATTATAAAAGTAATGCAGGCTGGGTACAGTGGCTCGTGCCTATAATCCCAGCACTTTGGGAGGCCAAGGCGGGCAGGTCACTTGTGATCAGGAGTTTGAGACCAGCTTGGCCAACATGGTGAAACCCTGTCTCTACTAAAAATACAAAAAAATTAGGCAGGCGTGGTGGCATGCGCCTGTAATCCCAGCTACTCCAGAGGTTGAGGCAGGATAATTGCTTGAACCTGGGAGTCGGAGGCTATAGTGAGCCGAGATCACACCACTGCATTCCAACGTGGGCAACAGAACAAGACTCCGTCTCAAAAAAAAAAAAAAAAAAAAAAAAGAAAGAAAGAAAATAAATAAAAGTAATGCATGTTTCAACTAGAATTGTCTTTGGTTGCCGTTGGGAATGTAAGTGGGTATAGCCACTTTGGAGAAATATTTGGCAATCTAGAAACATTAAAGATACACATACCTCTGACTCAGTAATCTCACTCTTGGGTATATATCCAATAGAAATGAGTGTTTACATCCGTCAAAAGACAGAAGAGTGCTTTGGTGGATGCAAGTACAACGATGTTCATAGCAGTTTTATTTGTAATAGCCCCAAATTGGAAACAACCTAAA